TATTTTATATGAGCAAGGAGAATTGGCTATTTAAAGAAATTTTATATGAATCTTTTTGTGACTGGTCAAGGGAGAAATGAGTTCAGATTTGCACAGGAATTTTAAGGAACAGCTTTGTGGGAAAGAGTCCAGAGCTGTTTCTTCTGCCTAAAATTAAAACTGCCCAAAGATCCTAAGAACTGGCTCATTTCCCTCTTCCCAGTCCACACTCACTGATGCCCTAAATTAAAACTTGAATTAATAGCAGTATAAGGAATTCTACTCTGAGGAGTAGACCAACTCACTAAAAAGAAGTGAGTATAAAAGAGAGTTATCAATTTTTTCACTTTTATATTTCCTTTATTACCCTGTTTTTAAAAATGAACACAGCTTTATTTTCTTGCAATAAAATAACACGTTAATTGAAATAAATTGGTAATACAAAAGGTCTAAAAAATTAAAATTACCTTATATTTCAACACCCAGAGAGAACTCTTATTAACATTTTTTTTGTTTATTTATTTTTGAGAGAGAGGAGAGAGAGAGAGAGGACAAGTGGGGGGAGGGGCTGAGAAGGGCGGGGGATAGAGGATTCTAAGGAGGCTCAGCAGAAAGCCTGACAGGGGGCTCCAACCCTCGAACTGTGAGATCTTGACCTGAGCCAAAGTTGGATGGTCAAGCAACTGAGCCACCCAGGAGCCCCTATTAACTTTTTTTTTTTTTTTTTTTTTAAGCAGGCTTCATGCCCAGTACAGAGCCCAGCGCGGGGCTTGAACTCATGACACCAAGATCCAGATCTGAGCTAAGATTAAGAGTTGGACACTTAACTGACTGAGCCACCCAGGTGCCCCCTCTTGTTACCATTTTGATATGTAACTTTCCCATATTTTTTTCTATGCACATACAAAAAGTGTGGTCATGTTACACATGATGTTTTGTAAAATTTAAAAAATTTAAAAAATTAAACTTAACACATCATGGGCATCTTTCCTTTAAAATAAATACTGATCTTTGTTATTACTTTTAAATTTGTAGAGCGACATCCCATTGTATGGTTGTACTGTAATTTGTTTAATCAATTCTGTTGATGATGATCATTTACATGGCTTCCAAGATTTCAGTATTATGAATAACGCTGTGATGAACATATCTGTTTGTACAACTTTGTAGACTTTCCTAGTTATTTCCTTAGGATAAATTTCCTTAGTAACAAGCGACTTGAATCTGGTAATGGTTTAGGTGACATTCTGCTTATTATTTTTTTAGACAGTCTATTCTTGAGGTTTGTATAGCTAAGTTAGTGGCTGTTTTGATTTTCATTTTCCCTTATGGTCCCACATATCCCAGATTAACTTGAGAAGAATTTGGAAAGATCATGAAGAAGTTGTTCATTATTCTAATATCCCCCCTCACCTCACAGTGCAACAGCATGAAGCAGGTCTAACACTTCAGTGTACGAATGTGACTATATCACACTTTTTGCACCCTCAAATTTCCTACTTGAAGGACCTTTATTCCTTTCTCTCTTGAAAACTCTTTCTTATTCATCCAGCAATAGCCTTATCTCTTTTTCCTCCTTCCTTTGAGTTTTGACTCAGTCCCTCTTCTTCCCTCAAAACAAGACTGGACCTACGCTTCATGTTATGTTAGAAAACCTGAGGCCAGTCAATATGGTTAGAGTAGGCCATGTGGGAGGCAGAACATACTATAAAGTGCCTGAGGCTGCTTTAATAAGTATGATGTGACCTAAGAGAATGATTTAATGTTCTAATTATACTTGAAGAAATTGAGGACCAAAGCTTCACAGGATCTAGTAAGAGATGAAGTCAGAATTGCAATCCTAAGTCCCTCTGACTACAAAGCTCATGGTTTTCATCATACTATGTCCTCACTAGAGCCTGTTTATGTTGGTTTAAATGGAGAAGAAATCATAGAAATGGCAGAGCACAAGTTCCCACTTTTGGTCATTCCCCTCAACTTTATCCCAGTTCTCCTAGCTCCCAGTCCCTCATTTCCCCTTACCCACCACCTCCCCATCCCAAACCCACACACATTTTTTACTCAAATGGTTGATCACTATAGTTAGGGCCAACTTCCCTGGGCTTAAGGTAGTAGCACTAACTTAGAATCATGGGATATGTCTAACCAGGCAGCCATAAGATTCATTACAGTATGTAATCAAGCCAATTTCAATCAAGCCTATGGGGTTAGGTAACTAACATTTAACATCACTGGCATCCATGTTGGTCTGTGCCTAGAAACGATGGCTTTGAGAGTAGCGATTTTTCAAAGAGCCCCCACAATTCTATCCTAAAGATTCTGGGAAGAATAGTTGTGCATTAGATTACTTTATGAGTGGGGTGGCTCTAGAAATGAACTCACATTACCAGGTGTGAAGAAGATTAATCCTAATGTTTTCATTTGAGAATTACTTGGGTTAAGGATAAGCCAAAATCATGCTGGACATTAACAGACCTTTTGGATGGTTGAACAAAGCGGTATTACACTTACTGGCAGTGGAATGACTGTTGAAAGCATTTACTTTCTGTATCATCTTCAAGGAAGTGTTAACAGGCTAGACTAACTCCTTTAGCTCTGATCCCTAATGTTTTAAACATTACTCTTTGCACTCTTGGCCTGTAGGTAACAGAAATTAGGGATATCTGCTAAGTCCTTGCTGGGACTATTAGACGCCAATGAGATATATACCTTCTCTGTGAACTGTGAACTCCACAGATGTTATTCCATTACGGAAGACATCCAAGCTAACATTTACTGAGCACTTACTCCATGCTCAGTACTTTAAAAAGAATTTCATAGTTATTAACTCATTTTATTCCCAGCATAAAGCAATGAGGACGGTACTATTACTAAACAGAACACTGGAGAGACTCACTTGCCCAAAGTCACACAGCTAGAAAGCAGTAGAGATAGGGTCTGAACCAGCAGTCTCATTCTAGAGCCTGTTCTCTTAACTACCATGATGGATGGGTATGCCAATGAGATAAAAGAAGTCTGCTGGAGGAACATCTGAGACCCCTGAAAGGAAAGAGTTCTTTTTCTTCCTGGGAAGGTTGTAATCTGCACATGATACTTGGAACTGCCAGCTTGTGACCATAACAGGAGTCACAGCTCCTGTATGGTTGAGTAGAAAGATGGGAAGGCTCTCAAGTTTTTAAGGACATCCTCGAGTAACTGAATTACCTAATCTTGGAACTGTTCTACCTTTGGAATTATTTTCATGTGACATAATGAACTCATTACTGTTTAATTTCCTTCAGTTAGGTTTCCTGTTACTCGTATCCAAAAGCGCTCTCACAGATACACATGTTTATAAAAGCATAATCCAACCAGAGACATACAACCCCTTCAGAGTCCAAATATTTGTACTATGTGCAACATTTTCATTCAGTTTCCAAGTATTGAATGCCTTCCACATATCAGTGAAGGCTGTCGAATCAAACAAGTTGGGAAGGGCAGGTTTCTACATCTATGGAGGTTATAATCTGGTGGTAAATGTGATAATGAAAATGGAGGCAGGCATCTATAAGGAAGGTATCATGGAGACCTAACCTAGGGTCAGAGAAGGCCCTAATGGAATCAAGAGAAAGCATGTATACCAGATTCAGACTCCATGTCTTACTAGTATCATCCATTTGTAATAAGTTTGTTATGTATTTAATTTGTGATATATTTTGGTTTTAGTTGTATGAGGCCTACAAGAACAGCTTATGTGCATAGTAGTGTCACGTACATACATATAGGTAAATTTATAATACCATAATTTAATTTTTTAAACAAATTTTTTAGTTTTAAGTTTATTTTTTAGTAATCCCTACATCCACTATGGGGCCCAAACTCATGATCAAGAGTCACGTGCTCCCCTGATTGAACCAGCAAAGTGCCCCTGTGATACAATAATTTAAATCAACATGGAGATCCAGAATATTTTTCCTTTTGAGAGGTAAATACTGAACCAGTTTAGGAGAAGCAAGCTAATATAAAAGGTAAGCAATGAAATGGGAACCAAAGCACTTCTAGCTCACTGGCTGTCAGCCTTCTTGTGACTTACATTTCATAATTTGTACAATATGACTCATAAGTGGTTATAATGCAATATTTTATTTAAAAAATTTTTTAATGTTTATTTATTTGGAGAGAGAGAGAGAGGAGTGTGAGCAGGAAAGGGGCAGAGAGAGAGGGGGACACAGAATTCGAAGCAGGCTCCAGGCTCTGACCTGTCAGCACAGAGTTCCTCCTGGTGCTCAAACTGGGAACCCAGAGATCTTGACCTCAGTCAAACTCAGGGGCTTAACCAACTGAGCCACGCAGGCGCCGCTAGAGTTTCCACATGAAGAATAAATATTTAAAATCCTTATACTGCTGTGAAAGTTCCAGAAATCATTCACAAGTTTAGCAGGGAAAATGGGCAAAACGAAGGTGTCTACAGGACATGACACGCAAGAAAAGAAGGCAGTGAAGGGAAAAATCAAGAGGCAGTAAAGTGCCTGGTAAACGCTACACAGCAGGAAATTGCGCTGTGCATATTACGGCTGTTGCTGAATAAAAATACCTGGAATTTCCAAAGATGACCAAACAAACATCAAAAAGGAAGTGGCCTTTTTTTTTTTTAAGTTTTATTATTATGGAAGATTTCTAACATGTACAAAAGTACCGAGAATAGCCATGAGAACTACCACAGCTTCGACAGTCACTATTCATGGCCAATACTGTTTCATTTCTATGTCCATTATTCTGAATCTCCTTTGTTCTGAAGCAAATTCCGGATTTATCATTTCACCCTTAAATATGTCGGCACACATCTCTAAATCAAAAGAATGGGAAACAGGGCATTTGGTGTCTAGCTCACTGGGGAGCAGTCTTTTCCATCTTCAATCCTTTAACTTGTAAAATATGATTTATGGGGGGGGGGGACGCAACGGAATTTTTTTTTTTTTAAGTAACTACAATAAAAAAAGGAGGTGGTAATTCCCATAAAGCTCTCCAGGAGGTAAGCTCACCCCATAAATCCAGATCGGCGTTTCATTCCCTAGAGGCCCAAGGTACAGCTCACTGACGCTTCCTTTCAAGGTCGGGACCCCACCGGCGGCCTGCAGCACCCAGCCTTTTACGGGCCTGGCTGGTCTTCGCCGGGCCCCGCCGCGAGGAAGTCTCCGCCCACTGGGCCCCAGCAGCCCCCGCGCACCTCCGCGCGCCCCCGCCGCCTCCTAGCAGGGAGGGGAGCGCCGCCCTGGACTCGCTAGGCCTCGGCTCGGGAGCGCGCACGCCGTGCGTCCCAGGCTCGCTCGGGATTCTCGCCTGGTGCCGCAGGGAAAGGCCAACTGTTTGGTCCGCCATGTTCTTCTCCGCGGCGCTCCGGGCCAAGGCGGCAGGCCTCATCGCCCAGTGGGTAAGGAGGTTCGGAATGAGCCCCGGCACTGCCGCCACTCTCCCCTATTTTTCGGTGTCTCCTTTTGTGGTGGGCACACGAGAACCCTGGGCTCTGGACGACCTGCAGGCGGCGGCAAGGACACTGCGGCCTTCGTCCTGTCTCAGGGAGGCCGCTGCAGCTCCACCGCCGGCGAGGAGCTCCGAGGGAGGGTCGCAGACGTAGCTGCTGCGGGTGCGTGGCCTCCCCCCACAGGACTGGGAAGTTTACGCCTAGTGTGGTCAAGGAGAGGAAGAAGGAGGGGCCGCCGGTGGTCTGTTGCTGTTTCGCCCCAGCGCGGAACGTAGGCCTGGCCTCGTCGGCCAGATAGGTTTCTAAGATCCCCCGCCCACGAAGGAGGCACCTTACCTTGCATATCAAGCCTGGTGACCTTGTTGCCGGCCTGTAGTAGCGCACTGGAAAGGATTCCGAAATTGTAGGCTCTGGCTTGCTGGTTGAAAGCTTAAAGAGCGTTTCCTTAGGGCAAGGTGTTTGATTTACTGCAGTTGTGTTTTGCATATCGGAAAAGTTCGATAAATAATCGTGTCACATTAACCCTATGAAAGAACACCATCAGAAAAACTGCACCCAGAAGGATTTAGAACTTGAATGGGCTTCTGAGATCCAAGTACATGCTCTTATTTTAGGCAAGGACGTTGAATCGAAACACGCATTCAAGTTAACTTAATGGTGATTCCAGGAATGGCGATTTTTACAGCATTTACTGGAAGGAAGCCTTTTTTTCCCCTAGCAGTAAAATAGAGAGGTTGAGTCAGTTTTTAGCAGAAGAGTGGGAGATAGTGCATAGTAGAATTGAATAGGGCTTTAGAATTGGACCTGAGTTTAGATAGTGGCTTCACCGCCTTTTCTAGCTTTGTGACATTGGGCTGTAATTTCTTGCACTTAGTTTTCTTGGTCGTAAAACGGGAGGAATATTCCAATTTGCAGAGTTTAGTCGTTCAGTAAACATTTGAGGTTCGACTTCACTGCTGGGCTGCAGGAACAACGTGGATAATAGTGATAAGTAACATTTGGTGATTACTTTTCATGTGCCAAGCACTGTTAAATGTTCACATTCTGAATCTAATAGTTGGTACTATTTCGCTATATTACGGATAAACAGACTTAGTCCCTGTTCTTGCGGAGTTGAAACTTTAAGGTAAATATCGTACAGTGTTAAGAGATATGAATAAAGTCAATTTGGTTTGAAGGTGGTATAAGATTTTTTCTACAGGCAATACTAACATTGGTGAGGAGATATTCTAGATGGAAAGGACAACATCAGAAAAAACTATTGATAGTTGGCAAGAAAAAACTTGGTGCCTATAGGAAGCCTCAAGCAGTGTTGCTGGACTCCATTGTTGGAAGTAAGGTGAATCCAGAGATGAAATAAAAGAGGTGGATAGGGCCCAGGTGTTGGAGCTCCTTGCATGCCGTGCCATAGAATTTGGCTCTGTGTTAGAAGCAGTGTGGAGTCAGTGAAGGATTTTAGAGAAGCAGAGGGTCATGGCCAGGTTTCCCCGTATTGGATAGATGACTGGATGGAGTGAGGGAATACATTTGCCAGGAGCCAGAGGCAGGGAGATGAAATAGATAAACAGGCTCTTGCAGAACCCCAGGTGAGAGGTGATGAAGTAGACCTTGTCTACTAGTAGAAAGGCTAGAATTAAGAGTACAGATAGATTTTCTCCAGGTTTTGAGGGAAAGGGCTATAGGTGAAAATTGAAGAATATCTTCAGGTAGCGGAAGAAATTTCAATCAAATTTTTATGTTTCTGCAACAGTTTTTTATTTGTACAAATATTACCTGGCATGTAGTATGTGCACAATAAATATTTGTTGACTTGATGAATCAGTAAGTTTTTCTTTTTTTCCCCAGTTTTACTGAACAATAATTGACACATCTCTGTGTAAGTTTAAGGTGTATAGCCTGATGATTTGATTTATGTTTGATTTCATTACACAAGTAATACATCGTAGGGAAAACATGATTTTGGGAACAGCAAACAGAACAAGCTCAAAAAATAAAAATTACCCATAGTCTCATCAACCTGGAAATAACCAAAATGTGAACATTTTTGTGTCTAGAATTGAGAGACCTTACAGTAAAAATTGATGGTATTGTTCACATTGTTATGTAGCCTGTTTTTTTCCCATAAAAACATTGTTGATCCACTTTCCTTACCAGTAGACATTTCTATACTGTCATTTTTTTTTTTTAATGTTTGTTTATTTTTGAGACAGAGAGAGAGCATGAACAGGGGAGGAGCAGAGAGAGGGAGACACAGAATCCGAAACAGGCTCCAGGCTCTGAGCTGTCAGCACAGAGCCCGACGCGGGGCTCGAACTCACGGACCGTGAGATCCTGACCTGAGCCGAAGTCGGACGCTTAACCGACCAAGCCACCCAGACGCCCCTATACTGTCATTTTTAATGCTGCATAGCATTCCATTGTGAGGATGTTCTATAACTTATATAACCAGGTCCTTTTCCAAATAGTGTAATATCAGAATGACCTAGGAAATGTGTGAGTAAAGAGGTGCCTTTTAATAAAGTTTGTTTCTTAAAAAAGAAACCATTAAGGAAACCCTTTACATTTTCAAAGAAATTGCTTATTCTGTTACAATTTCTGCTGCATTAATTTCTTCAGCCACAGACTTGAGTTCATCATTGATTTAAAAATACCCATAACTTAGTACTGTCTAGAAGTGCCTACAAGACCATAGTTGTGTGACCATGAACCATATTTCTTAATCTCTTGAAGTCTTCTGTAAAAAGTAGAGTAACACTTTGATTATCAAGAATTGCCTAAAAAATGTGAATTATGGAGTAGTAAATAGTCAGAATAGGCTTATTCTCTTCAGTAATTTTCCATGGCTTTTGAGTTGTTGACACCACTTTGGAGCTCATCGCTGCTTCATTTCCAAGCCACCACTTCAGTAGGAGTGAGTGGCATTTTCAAGGATTGTATTTTCAGTTTTAGAAATTTTTTTTCAATTTCAGAATTTTCATTTGGTTCTTTTTTATAGTGTCTATTCGATTTTTTTGTTCATTGAAGTGTTTTTTTTTCAAACACAGGTGTAGCCGTTTTGAAATTGTTGTGTGGTAATCTCCATTTACTGCCTTCTCTTTTAAAAATGGGCTGTTGAGTAATTTTGAATTGTATCCTGGACATTGTGAACAATAAATCATAGAGACTCTCAATTTTTCTAATTTCTCCATAAGTGTTTGTTGTGCAGGCTGTTAACTCAATTGAACTTGAACTATAACCCAGCTCCCTTGTAGGCAGCACCTCAACTACTGGTTCAGTTCTTTTAGCTGGGCTGCCTGGAGTTGGCCCCATGTGCATGCAGGCCTTGGGGTCAGCCAACGGAATTTGGGGCTTCTCTCTGGCTTACTTTTCTGGGATTTCGCACTTTCCCATGCCTGTTGTCCCATACCGTTCTGTGGTTCTTCAAGTCATTAAGACTGCAGGTTTTCTCTTTTGGTTTTAGTTGCCCAGCACAGGCCTGTGGGCCTGCTTTTAGGCTAAAAGATATAGAGTGTAAAGCAAAAAAACCTTCATTGGCTTCTTCTAAGTATAGACTCCCTTTGGTGTCTTCCTGCATTTGGTTGTTTTCCAGTGCCTTCAGAAAGTGTTTTGGTTTTTTAAAAATAATTTGCCCAGTGTTTATAGTTGTTAGTGGTTTGGCCTGATAATATCTACTCAGCCACTCTAGAAGTAGAACCTCCTTCTACTAGTGGCATTTTTCTTTCTAAACTTTAAGTTTTGTAGAATGGACTGTTTTCTCATTTCATTAGAGATCATTAAACCTGATTTTGCAGTGTCCCAGGGTATCTCCATTTTGACTCAAGGACTCTAAAGGAGTTCTTTAACAACAACAACAAAAAAGGCATTTGTATTAGTGTTTTTATTGCTACTATTACAAATTACCATAAACTTAGTGACATAACACAGATTTATTGTCTTATGATTGTGTAAATTAAAAGTTTGACATGGATCTCACTGGGCTAAAATCAAGGTGTTGGCAGAGCTATTGGAATACTGTAGGGGACAAGCCATTATTTTGACTTTTCTAGCTCCTAGAAAAAGCTGCCCTTATTTGTTGGCTCATGGCTCCTTTCTTCCATCTTCAAAGCCAGCAAAGGCAGGTTAAGCTGTTGCATCACTGACCCTGCTTCCATCATTTGTGACATATCCTTCTCTAACTTTGTTCCCTCTTTCACATTTAAAGGTCCCTGATAATCCAGAATAGGAATCTCCCTATTTTAAGGTCAACTAATTAGTAATCTTAATTCCATCTGCAACCATATTTCTCTCTTGCTATGCATACTAATACATTCACAGCTTTCCAGGATTGGGAAATGGGTATTTGGGGGGCACTATTACTCTGCCTGCCATGGCCTTAAACACTTCAGGGGAAAGAGAAAATAGGCAAAATTTTTGTTTATTCAGTGAGGTTTAATAGACCGCTACTGCATACTACAAATTCAGATCTTTTATATTGGAGATGTAAACTCAGTCTCCATTTCAAAGATATAAATAGCTGTACTTCCCTTCTCTTTGCATACTGTTTAATAACAGCTCAGTACATTGGGTAATAAATAATAGGTTCATTGACCATGTCAGTCTAGTTTTCCATTGAGAAACCTTGACTCACCCACTACTTTTTGAGTCAGATCAGGAAACCTGTTATAAATTGGTTGCAGGAGATTTTTTTCATTCAACAAGCACTAAAGATTTAACATTTAAACACACTTTTTCTTTGCCTTGTTGGTGGAGAGGGAAAATGCCTTATACGTGGGATACTTTTCTGGGTGTTATCCCATTTTGTACATGAGACAGCTGATGATTCCCAGACAAATATGCCCCAAATTACACAGTAGTAGGAGCCTGAACTGGGTTTGTTTGCAAGTCCTATTTTTTGTTTCTTCTTTTAAATTTATTTTTCTTAAGTTGCTCAAATTTACCAAGGGAAATTG